GTTAAAGGTAGTCTTTTTCATATGTTTATTTTATATTTTTCTTCTTAAATATATCTTTATTGATTTCAGAGAGAGGGAAGGAGAGGGAGAGAGAGAGAGAAACATCAATGATGAGAGAGTCATTGATCGGCTGCCTCCTGCACGTCCCCAACTGGGGATCCAGCCTGCAACCTGGGCATATGCCCTGACTAGGAATCGAACCCTGATCGCCTGGATCCTGGGTTGAAGCTCAACCGCTGAGCCATGCCCTGCTGGGCTGTTTTATATTTTTCATGAGACCTAAAACAAGAAGGCAGAGCAGAGCATTGCCTGGGAATGTGCCTGTAGGGTGACTGAGTTTATTTTGAAGCTCTGCCTGCCCACAGATGATCAGGAAAGTACCTCAAAGCCTTGATGTGAGGGTTAAATACATTTTAGTGAGCCGGCGATTTGCCAGAATGGAAGCCTCAAATAACGGGGGTCAGCGCTGTGTTAATAACTGGACCATTCCTCTCATCCTTGAACCCCATGTCTAGGTGTGTACTTGGTGTCTCCAGTTGGAAATCTGATATTTGTCTCAAATTTTAACATCTCCAAAACGATTCATAATTTCCTGCCCTCTCGCGGTCTTCCCCATTTTTGTAAATGGCAAATGACCCTACCGTCCGTTCTCTTTCACCTGCCCAAACTCAGAATCACCCTTTTTCTTCCCTTTCCCCACATCCTCCTGCCTTCCTCACCTCATAATCAGCAAGTACTATTGATTTTACCCCCAAAATATATATGCAGTCTACTTATTTTACTGTCACTGTAGCTCACTTCTACAGCAAGTAGCTTCTGTTGCCTGCCTCCAGTCCTTTCTCAACACCCTAGTAAGGAGTCTTTAAAAACAAATCATCTGACCTTGTCTAAAGCCAACATTGCAGTCGCTTTTGCATTTTTAACCTAGACCTCTTTCATTTATGGCCAGCATCTGCTTTTCTTTCTAAGCTGATTTTGAGCTAGTTCCTCTCATTTGTGACCTCCAACTCTAGTAATCTTTTTTGTTCTTCAAACACTTTCACAACCCAGTGCCTTCCCGAGAGCTCTTGCCAACACGGGGAACAAGCTCGTCCCACTGTTTGAATCAGCCTCTAGAGCTCACCTTCCCAGGAAATCCTTCCTGATCTCCATGTTTGAAATCGTATTTTCTGTCTCAACCTCTTGTATGTTTCCTTTATTATAGTTATTCACAGTTTGTAAATTATTTCCTTATCCATTCAGTTTTTTGGGGTCTTTTCCCTCCACTAGATTGTAAGTCTTGATGTATAATGGCAGACAGTGCCTGGCATGTAAGGGCCTTCGCTAATTATTTGTTCAACTAAATGCTGAACAGTAGTTAAAATGGCATCTCATAGTTTAATTGGATAATCTGTTATTGAGCTAATAAATTTGTTTTACAATATTTCCAGTAGAATTATGTATTTTATTCTTAAGTAGTGGTTTTGTCATATTATCCCAGGTATTACTAAAAGGTAAATTATATCACTTACCACCTACAGGGTTTTTGTCTTTTACCTTTAAGTCACTAGCTCCCTTAGTTTTAAGTCTTAAAAGAACAACTATTTGATTAAAAAAATCAAATGGAGTAGAAGTCTGTTAAGAATATCTTCTTATTCTGAACTTTGAAACTCCTGGAGGGCAAATTTCTTTCATACGCCCTTGTTCCTGAGGTCCCTAGCCCAGTACCTGGTATTTATGCACTAAAAACATTTATGAAGTTAATAAATTGAAGACTGATTCACATGAATTATAGCTCCTTGAAATCAAGAGTTAATAGAATAAGACCCTACTCCCCTGCATGTGGCCCCCACCGGCCAGGTGTCATGCTGGTTTATCCCCCCC